AATGCTTCAAAACCCAACATGATGCTGCCGCGGCATTCGACGATTTCATCGCCTCTAGATTTCCGGACTTCTATGCGAATGGGATACTCGAACTTGTTTTTCGTTAACAAAAGTGTGTCGATAGTAATGGTTGTTATTTCGATTGATGAAGTTTCGTTCAAGCCGAGATATATGCATTTGAAGTTTGAGGCGCAAAACCGCAAGAACTTTCTTCACGACCTAATATATAGAAAAATGAGCGAACGCGACCCGGCCCCAGCCCCCGCCCCCACTCCTTTCCAGCTTTTTCTAAACGACCAGGGCTGGTATTGTAAATCAAGCTTCGCATGCTTAGATCTGCTTGGGGATAAAATGCTTGACTAATTCCTACATAGCGGGGCTTTGTGTCCAGATAATTCCTTTTACATTAGAAACACGTCATCGACAACGATGGACCAGTACTTCTAGATTCTTAACTCTGTTTACTACGAACAAATCATATCTCATCCCTTTCGATTCATCTAAAAACATAGGCCATGATGACATGAGTTCTGCGGTCTTTGTGATATAAAGTGATTTTGAGGTCTCAGGAGCCGATGCGGGGCTATGCCACGACGAGTGTGGTCTAGGTGTGACGAAGCAGGGGTTCAAAGATGGTAACTCCCTTTTCTGGAAAACAATAACTGAACCTGTATTGAAAACTCTTTTTGCATATTTTCTTTTGTCTATAGCCACCGTCTAAGACAGCGTCGCGTAGCGTTTCGTTGAATTAAATGAGGTTTCTATGAAAATGGTACGCACCTGTTTAAGTTTGGTATTCAAGTGAGATAGGCGAGCGACACATCCCTTCTGTTAAGTGGTTAGGATTGATTTTTCTGGTGATTTTGTCCCGATCTTCGACTGCCATAAAAGAGACCTCATCCGCACTAATCAAAATCGCGTAATGCTATCCGCCAGAGAACAAAGACAAGTAGTGAAAGCGGTATCTGTCGCGTTCAACGACAAAAATGATAGGCACAGAAAGAGACAAGATCACTGTAGCTATGTTACGTTTTTTTGACTTCTGTTTCGCATTTGACTTGATATTTCGCAATGGCGCTTCCTTTCTTGAATCCAGCTATTGTATGTACTTGTCATCGTGACTTAGTCTTGTAACGCAATTTATTAGATCGAAAAAGGTATGGCTGGTAATGTACAGCTAAGAATTTATTATGCCATGGAGAAGCGTTTGGCTGCAGAAACTCCTCAACGTCGAGTTCCGTCTTCAAAGAAGACTCCGCCATCGATAGCGCAGTACTTAGGACAGACTCCTTTCTCGCCAGCTCCTCCAGGTTCTCCAGGGCTACCTGGGGCGCCAGGATTTCCATCAGCGCCGGGTTGTCCATCAGCTCCAGGAGGTCCTTTGGGTCCAGGTGCACCTGAAACAATTCCAAATCTAATGAAAGTAGTGGAAAAAACTTGTTCCTGTTCTACTCAAAACACCTACCTGGTTGTCCATCTGCTCCCGGCTGTCCATCAGTACCCGGAGGTCCTTGAGGACCAGGTTCACCAGCAGGTCCAGGTTCTCCAGGAACGAGTGGCTCATTACCAGCATCTTGTCCAGGTAGTCCAGGTGCTCCTGGTGCTCCAGGTTGTCCATCTGGCCCAGGAGGTCCTTTAGGACCAGGTGGCCCAGGAATCGCACTGCCTCCAGGTTGACCAGGTAAGCCGTCGATGCCAGCGTCTCCAGGGGGGCCTTGGGGACCAGGTGGTCCGGGAGGCCCAGGAGGGCAAGGTTTGCATGGAGGTGGTGTTATAGGTTCGCATGGTGTCTGCGGTGGGCGTCCGGGATTTCCTGGGAGGCCAGGAATTCCAGGCTTTCCATTGCGACCAGGTTTACCGGGAGTTCCAGGAGCTCCGGGAGGGCCTGGTAGACAACATCCGGCGCACCCGCCGCTGCCAGTTTGACCACCATTGACACCGGCGTCGTCAGTGGCATATGCCTGACGGGCAGTCCTGTTCGAAGGCGGCACGACAGCGAGATGGTTGACCTCGGACCAAATGTCCTTAGCTGATGTCTGACAGAAGTTAATATCAGTATTAATCTGACGTTTAACATGGCTTATGTAACTGTAGACCATGGGTAGAGTGAGACAAACAGCTAGAACTGCAACCACCGAAAATGTGACAGCCGCATAGGAGACGAACCGATAGGCTTTAATTCGCTGTTCGATGTCCATTTTGGAGGGACTACGATGAAATGCCATTCGTTAACGCTTTTATACGATCACGCATGGATCGGTTGTGCGCAACAGTTGTCGTTACATGGAACCCACGTTATCAAGTTTTTAGCGCTGTATGCTTAAGAATGTATCGAAAATAGAAAACCATCACACTTCTTATCAGTACTGTCAATCGTAAAGGTCGACCTTTGGGACTACGCGTTTATTCAAGCGGGCCGAAGGTCAGATACTGTATGGGAATTTGCACCGAAGTATTGCAGAAAATACCTTTTAAGCATAATATGTCACAAAAAGATCACCGGCCTGTTTCGAGTTTGTTCCACAACTCGAGAGGTTTAAAAATAAAAAGATTTTATTCAATCCACCAGTTGATAAAATACGACTCGCGATTCTCGAAAATCCTTTTCATAGTGCTTAAATGCGTCCCTGACTAAACTTGGAGTGATCCTTTGTAGTCAAACCCCGACTTGGAACCACTGGCACCTGGCTATGCGCTATTTACTCTTGCTCAATATCTTTTTGAAAATCCATTTGAATGAGTTCTTGGAAGTAGGATTCAGAAGATCACTGCGAACAGCATTTCAATGAAAGTGCATCAAAATTGGTACAAACGACTGAATAGAGCTATTCGTATGTGCCTTTTGAACTGGGCTAAATGGACTATGCCCATGTAATGTTCAGCACACACTGAAGCACTCTAGCGATCAGACCCATCTGCCTAGCTCTTTTAAAGGCATGGCATAAACCAGAATCCCTATCTGCTTCAATCTCCGAAAAGATGACAGCTCGCTGCAGCTCAACCCTCACCCTCAGCAAGTTTTCCCTTATTGGCATAAGTAAGAAACCTTGAGATAGCGAATTTGTAGAAGTCGCTTTTGAGGTTCACGGACACCACGGTAAGTGACTATATCGTCTTAGCTACACAGATTGATCTGTATGGATTGGGGATCGAATTGACACTATCGGTAAACTTCCTATTTGAAATCCCTTTCCTTGCCAAATACAAGAGAAAGCGCGGTCCTCATAGCGCCTAATTGACTTTTCTGCCGGCGGACAGATAGAACGACATACAAACAAACGAAATTGATGATGTAGAGGACAAATGCTCGGATATTAATTCTAAATATATAAAGATATGTATGTGGAACAGGTCAAGGAAGTAATAAAAATTAAGAGAAATGACATTTTTTGCACGTCCTACTATAAATTCCCCCGTACGGGATTCCGTTGTTAGCCGTAGACGTAGCCCTTTAGAGGAACACTGCAATTATTCTTGTACGAGAGAGGAAATGATTCAGTAGTTCCTTGCTATTGAAATAATTCCCAAAATGCCTCCAGCACATTTTTCGGTCGCTTGAGTTATACTGGCAATGCATATCGTTCATGCCATCATTTGAAAAGGGTATCTGGACTTCTGTATTTATGTTGTCTGTCGAGTCCAGCGTTTTTCGGCCCAGAACTCAAGAGTCTCTCGTTTTTTATCAGATAGTCAATGCTTTCACTGCCTTGCTTGATGACTTCCGCTTCTCTTGTTGGACCTAACTGAGCTATCTATCGGGTTCGGCGATTACATGCAGTTGGATCACCTTGTCGATTTGTTGCGTTAGTCTATGTCACGGTCCACTGATTTCGAACTATTACTCATCACAATTCACACATGCTCAGCTACTTCTTTGCCCTCTCCTATTCTGCCACATGTGGTAACGGAGTTTTGGAGCTCCAGTAAACCCTCGTGACCACCCTCCAGCAAGTAAGGCGAAAGGGCATTATAATCACTTTGGGTAGGTTTCTAACATGGTTTCGTCTGGAAAGTTTGAAGTACAAAGATATTTTTGATTATGCGAGAAATGCAAACGAAGCCGTCGTCTTTGTTCAAGAGTATACCTCGTTCAGTAAGATTGAAGTGGGAAGCATTCTTTATCAATCACTCCCTCCAAAGTGGCAGAGTGGCAGAAACCCTTGCCTTACAAACTTCCAGTTACTACTTGTTACACTACTTGTTTCAGCCTATCAGCGACGACTTTCGACTCTCATGGAACTTAGGTTAGGTTGAATGACCCGGGTATATCGAGAGTGTTTTCACAATGCAAAGCAGCATTCGAGCTTGGCAAATTGATAAATAATAAGTCGATAGAGAAGTCCAGATTTCCATTTCTATGTTAAATTTCGTACAGGAAAATGTCGCACTTGAAAGCGGTGATTTCACAAGAAGCGTGGAATCAAATTTACGGTCACACAGTAGCGCTCAAAAGTTTTCGACCAAATGCTTCCTCAGCCGTAGTTTTTTTCCCTACTCCATCTGAGAAATTTCAATATATGTAGCATTGGTGTCTTGTGAATATTTACCACTATCAACAAGCAATCTGACCATGTTCCAGATTTCACAAAGGGCTTGAACTCAAAATCAACTGGAAATACGAATGATGGCGCCTCTGAAATTTCCTTCCTTTCTGCCATGTCTTAAATTCACGAGCGCTGATGCCGAGCACAGTAGAGAAGAATAACGCACATAAGGTGCGAATAA